CGGCTATACTCGGTAAGACGAAGCAGAAATCAGGGCTGCTTTTCTTCATTGGGAAATTACTCGGGGCCGATAGGTAAGGGGGGTAGAAAAACTTCACCATCATCACATGCAGCAATTGTAGCCTCGTTAGCCTCCTCATCACCATCCATGACAATTCTGCCATCCAAAGTCGAAGCTTGAGTATCCATAGGTATCGCAGGTGCTGCATGCAGGGAGGCAGGTGAACACTGAGGTGCAAGGATAGAACATTCCGACACATTAGCCGTATGGGGACCACACTTAACGACAATACATCAAAGGCCAGTGCTCAATTGGCAAGGCGATCATGGTCATTAGAATGCCGGTGATAGCTGGTACCATTATAGTTCCTCGATTTCGGTGGTCACTCGAGTACCTAACTTTCTCGCTTTTTTGTGCAAATGAAGGAGCCTCTCACCTGTGCTAGTACCAGGCTGATGTTACCTTCGATAAGCAACCGAGTGAAGCCGTGGTGCACTGCGCTCTGCATCTAAGTTGCGATGCCATATGCTCGACCAAATTATTATTCTCGCTGTAAGAGGTGAGGAAGTGCAAGCACATCCAAATCACGCTGCCACTTGAGCTCAAAAGCACTGTACCACCACCTTCCCAGAGTTGAGTTGGCGTGCACCATGGATACTAGAATCCCAATGTGTCGGTCTCACTCGACCATCATTAATCACCTCGGATTTTGATGAGAAGCGTGAAATCAGACCGCTGAGAAATTGTATTGGTTGCTGTCTATTACGCGGTCAGCAGCTTTTTGAAGGAAAAGTGGTTTCCGTAAGGCTTTATATTTCTACGAGCCGGCCAATTGACCATTGCGTTTAACTTAGCATCAACCGCCTGAAGGCCTCGCTTCCCAATGCATACACTAAATATAGAAGCACCTATCCTATACTTAGTGCTAGTTACAATTACTGGATCTGTAGCCTATCAATGTGCAAACATGCATAGTCACTATGCTTTAAGTAAGTATAGTGACCACGTGGCTCTCTGCCACGATGTGACTCTTCGTACTTCAGGTATGGTTACTTTTGTACCCAAGGTACAGCCACACCACATTAGTGTGGCAGGTGTGTATGTACAATTCACGTTACAATGCTACTGAGCCAGAAAGTTATAGTGACTAGCATTATGTATAGAGCCTACAAAGGTTATCTCAATAGCGCCAAAGAGGCACTTTGCTCGATGTAATCCTCCACATCCGAGATTTTGGGCTCAGCACGACTATGGACAAAGATGTCATCAAAGTACGTCCGTGCACACGCCTAATGGGACACGAAAAACTTCCGTTCTGGTAGCGCAAGCTCAAAGGCCTTCCACAAAAATGGTCACTCGAACCTCTCAGGAAGAGAATCCGCTTTCATAGCGTTAAGAAGCGCTCTTAATTCTTGAGCGAACTCAGTGATTTCCCTTCTACCCTAACCGGCAGATAAGAAGCGTGATCGCACGCACTAAGGGTCGATAACCAGAATCAAGCGGTAAGAGACCCAAAGATGTATGCCTTAGAAAGTTATTACAGTTAACGCAATAAAATGCCAACTAATCTCTATTATTGCTTGTGGCCGTCTCTCATCGGCCAACATGCAAGCTTATTATACCCAATTAATATATACTATATGCAAAGGGTGGCTGTAACGCCACCCCTTCTATATGGTGTGTACATTGAAACTTCTTTCTTATGGTTGCCGTTGGACAATGTAACGGCTCGGACTCAGAGCATCCCTCTCCTACATTTCAGAACGTAAAGCTAGCTCCGTTAACAAAGTAACGGCCTATATCAGCCAATGAATAGATGCTTCTGAATATTGCCAAATAATATACTCTTATTAAATATTATCAGCTTTAGAATTACTTTCACATTGACACTTAACGATGGTGCCAATGTCATGAAACGTGCTCACCCTTACGCAGCAACACTACTGCAACCTGTATTGCTTGAAAGGATCTACACGTGGGCACCTGCCGAAGTTTGAGCACGTGATTATTGAGATGAGGGTAAGATAAAGTCTAAAAAATAGTGTTCCCCTCACAAGGAGGGATACAGAAATTCAGTGAAGCCGCATATTAAAGAGTCAATTCCACGGTAATCTTTAGTAAAAGGCGAAAGATTAATACGCTTTGAAATTAACTCTGCGGAATGAAATAACAATACAAAATTAGCTTTAACCTATACTCTTGGTCATCCCACACGTACGCTGGCTTTATATGTCGAAAGTACAGAAAATTCAATCTAAACAAATCGCACTTTGACGGAACTTTTGAGTCCGTTACGGAGGTGTAACGGAGCTGGGTTTTTTATGCTATACACAAAGCACGGTAAAAGCACGATGCCTAGCGCAAATGCGGCGCCGTGTGTATTTCTGGTGGTGACAAAGCAGGTGAGGAATAAAAATCGTAGGACGGGGGTACTGGAGTACGGATGACAAAATTTGGTTTGTAAGCCGCGCTTATGTTCGAGATGAGGCTGCTGCTACGGTTTGATATGCAAGAGTGGTGCAGCAAATGAGCGTGATCGGTGTCATTTGAAATGTAAAGAGCTATGGCGGTTTGTGCTACAAGCAACATAAAAACTGATGAATTCTATCGCAGGATAAAGTAATGCTGAGCTTATGGATTCGGATGCGCTCATATAGAAACTTAAGACCACGGAAGATGAAGCTATTTGTGGATTGTTTGTGCAGCACGAGAATTGTTGTGTACAGATAGAGAGAGGAAGAAGCTCAAGTTTATGCAAGGCTTTGGAGTAAGTTGATTGCTCTAGCTGCTGTTAAGAAGAACGCGACTTGGCGCTGGTCGGTGAAATTGATGCGTTTGTGGTAGTTGGCGCCCACGTAGTTGGTTTTGGTCTGCTATGTTATCTATTGCAGACATACTGCTTGATGGATCGACGGTCTCTTCATACGTACACGCCGTGCAGTGGTTGTTGGTTGTTGCACTGCTAGAAAGAATATGAAGGTTCTATGACGGGGCTGCTAGTAGTTGAGATCCATGACACTGGGGTTTTGGGCGTCGACACTGCCATGTTTCACTACGAGTCGAAGAAGCTGGTGCTGTCTCCGTTCATCCTGTCCAGATTGTGACGTTTATTTGAAGACGTGTCACGACTACGAGTTGAACTTTTAGATATCAAGTTCATGCCAAATGATGGCATTCAACCACTGAAACCAAGTCTTCGGGTATTAACTTTTGATCCTGGCAAGGCAACGTATGTTTCGTACTCGGAGCTCGATGTTGTTTGTATATACTTGAGCTAAGGTTCACATGTTGCAGTGGTCGGTATAATGGATTGATACTTGAGATCGGGTCATGCGAATGGCCTCATGATTGAAAGAATAGTTTACGACTCGTCAATTAGGATTTGGTAATTTAGGGAGACCCTTAATCTTAAACGGTAACAGATTTATATCATTCAGATTTTACTTACAGCTGATTTATATCAAGCTACATCTAGAAAAATAGTTCAATTTGTTTTGAAACGGTTAAAAAAGAATGGCCCGTCGTCGGCCAAGAATACCGTGTAAAGGTTGGTCCGACCCTTGGGGGTGTCTTGATTAAGCCACTGATCGTCCAATCTCAAGATACAACAAGCTTCGTCTTTTTCATTGTCAATCCCATCACAACTTGTCGTCTTCCTTCTTCTCTCTCAATACCCAATCTCCATTGCATCTATGATTTGTTAATACGACAAGCTTTCTCGACAAAAATGTCTTTCAAATTTTGTTGATGGGCAAGAAAGGCATTTTTCGTCTATCGCAGCGTGAAAGCACAGGCACTTTGTACATGAACATTACAAAGCAAGAATGCGCAACCGTTCCGATATGCTGCATGATGGTGCATAAAGTCATTTTTTACTTGGTATCAAATATGTCGGGAAGGACACACCTTTGCATAGGCAGGAATGGAAACGTCTGAGAAGAAAAAGTCAATGCAAACTTTCCAGTTGGTTGCAGCAATGGCAACGGTATCCATAGGGTGTTAAGCGTCAAAAAAATTAGGGTACAGACGTAATTTATATACACGCTGTGTACGTCCATATCGTACAGCCTATTTGTGTTTGGCGCATGAGGAAGTTTAGGTTGCTACATTGCAAGAACAGTGCTCTAAGAATACACAACTAACTATTCAAATTGGTTTTAGTAAAGCAAGTATAGTAAATAGTCGGTTTTGCTCATTTTCGACTGACTGACTACGTAAATACAAACGGGACAGTGACATTTCAGTACATATGTACATGTATTAACGACTACGCTCAGAAAGTGTCATTGCTGTAATTCTAGCTGCGGGTACGGGTATGTTGAATCTTTGTAAAAACTATATGATCACATCTCATCATGACGGAAAAGCGCAGGTGTTTGCGCTATTTCAACGTCAATGATGGAAAGAATTACGACTTTGAGATTCTTCAATACCGCAGCTGTCCAAGTTGATCATGCAACGTCATATGTTTGCTGGCGTTTATATCATTCATTCGACGTTGGAACAAGAAGTCTGTCCAAGGTCATCAGCTCATGGAGCTGAGTCGACGGTGCCGACATTTTCTGCGAACGTTGCCGTGCTGTAACAATACCGGTCACATGCGTGCGACGAGACGGCCCGAAAGAGCCCTACAGGCCGAGGACTTTACTACTACAGGCTCTCATTCGTACAAGAAAGACTTAATATATTTATCAATGATTTATTGCTGTTTAGGTCGTTGACAAGTGTAGTTAGATGTTAATAAACTTGGACTGATATCCTGAATTATGAACGTGAGAGAAACGGCTTTTTATGTGTGTGAAACGTATCTGTTTTGCAAAAAGGCACGGTCCGGCCAATCAACAGCATCGCATGATTGCAGTTCAGCAGCTCGAGGTCGCCACATCATTCACGGCCACTGCCCTCCATCACAAAAACTATTCTTGTGTTTGAGCTCTTCATTATTCGATCATCCACGCAGCAGTAACAGCTTCTATTTTTATTCTACTTCCTTTCGTCTAATGTCGACCCCATCCAAGAGCAACAACATCAACAATTTACGCCTAGTACAACTGGAAAAGGCTGCAAGAAAACTGACGCTGTACTCGCGGGCACTTCATCAACAGCTTGCATGGCTTCGTGAGGAGATGGTGAACGAAAAGCAGGCCGTCCTGACGTCTGAGGACGACGTGAGTGAGTCATCAGCGCGACTTCAGGAGATTGAAGAGCTCATGGCGCAGCTCCAAGAAGAGATTGATGCGCTCCGTATGACGTCACCCTTGCAAGATAATGGCAGCCTAGCTGCACGCGAGCAAGAGATGGAGGAGCTCGCGGAGGAGCGTCATGAGGAGCTCGAGTTGCTCGCTCATATCCAGACAATGCTACAGATGCATCAAAACACGCACAGGAAGATCAAGCAGATGATTGCGACGCTTATGAAGGAGATTCATTGCGTACGTGAACGCGAAAAGATTGTGGTGCTAGCGGCACTACGTAGTCGCATGTTCAAGATCATTGCTCCGAAAATCTAGAGCAGATTGCAGCTATTGCTGCTGCCATCTCTTTGATCCACAAGAGACTGCATCAAAATTGCATGAAGAAAACACGTCGTCGGAATCATCGACACGTATACGACATCCATTGGATTTCAATGAACCCACCACCGCCATTACCACCAAGCAATCTCGAGTACCTAAGAGACTCTTATTTATTGAACAAACTTTTTCGAACCCTTTCTATCGAGCACTTTCGTCCTGATTTAAATGATATCGTCCTAAGAAGATTGATAGTTTCTCAAGTTTCCAAAATCTCTTTATTTTTCTTCTTTTAAATCTGAATCGTCAAATTTAGAATCTCTGAGTCTTTCTCTTCTAAAAAAAAACAACCAGTTTTTGGGGGGGTTGGATTGGGTTGGGTTGTTTTTGCTATGGTGCTAGGAGGTTTCGTTCTAGATGAACAGAGTGAAGAAGAAGTGCTACGTGAAGCAATACAGACTGTTTGTGACCAGGGTTTTCGCATGCAGCATGCAGTAGACGTAAATGAACAATCTGATGTGCTGAACTACGCTGCTGAAGTCCTGCGTGAGCTACGCACGAGCTTGCTTTCTCCCAAGAACTATTATCAACTTTGTACATATAATGAATGTTTAGATGATAGGAACTATATACTTGATCGTATCGCTAATATTGCTTGTATGTAATATGTGGTTGTATATTAGACATGCAGGTAATGGATCAGTTACGGCATTTTGAGAGTTATGTGGAAGAACAACAGCAACAAGGCGCGTCAATGCGTTTGCTCTATGAACGCGTCCAGAGCAGCGGCAATGTACTGCCGAGACTGTACGGCAAGGGACAGTGTACTGCTATTTTTTATGGTGTTGTATGGAGGTTCTTATGGTAATTATGGTTGTGTGTGTTATCAGCTACTTGCTCGTGACAGTGGGTGCAATTTACATCAAGTCTCAAGAAGCACCAGCTTGTGATGTGTTGATGGATCTTGTGGAAATGGCAAAAGGAGTACAACATCCACTACGTGGGCTTTTCTTGAGGCATCATTTGTCTCTTAGTGTACGTGACAAGCTACCGGATACAGGTTCAGTGTATGAGCAATCAGGTGGTGGCACTGTCAGCGATTCTATCAAGTTCTTGCTGCAAAATCTTCGTGAAACCAATCAGCTTTGGATCCGATTGCAGCACCAGAAAATAAGTAGTGATCGACCACTGACTGCTCGAGAAAAGGAGCGAATGGAGCTACGTCTGCTTGTTGGGACAAGCCTCGTACGGCTTAGTCAATTAAATGGTGTTACGCGCAGCATGTATGCTGAACAGGTGCTACCTGTATTACTAGATGATGTTGTCCTTGCATGCAAAGACTGCATGGCGCAACAGTATTTGATGGATTGTATCATTCAGGTCTTCCCTGACGAGTTTCACTTGCAAAATCTTGAGAGGCTATTGGACGCAATGGAAAAGCTGCAGCCAAATGTCGACGTTGCTTTGATCTTGACAGCTCTTTTTGAACGTCTCACAAAATTTCGGGAGGCGCAGGGAACTGTTAGTAGTACAGGACAGCAGGAAGCAGTAGTGGATGATCGTAGCAAGTTAGAAGAGAAGCAGCAAGACGGACTTCATGTTTTCAAGCAAATGATGGACACGACTACCAAGCTGTTTTTGCGCTCATCGCGGTATACCGCTGGAAGTGGAAGTCGTTCAAACGAAGGAAGTGGAGTTGATATGCACTTGGCCTCAGTGTTGCCCTATTTCGTAGCGTTTGCTACTTTTACCCTTGTCTGGTTGGGTAACACCAAGCGTGATGAGTTACATATAGCTGCAGCCCTTGAGCAGGTGGTTGCTGGCTGCTTGACATTTTTACGTGAGCGAACAGCGTGGCGAGTTGACAAAGACAAGCAAAAGCGCCAGGTTGTGGTTTCACAGCTCAAATCTCTCGCGCTCACGCTCCTTCGAAGCCTTTCCATCCAGGATCTCTTGCAAGTGCCGTCACTGCTTGAGTTGCTTGCACTGATGCCGTGGCAGGGTGCGTGGAAAGATGTGGCATTGGCATGGATCACATTGCTACTTGCGCGGCATGAACGTGTTTACAATGAGAAACAAATGAACTTTTTGCTAACGGTGCTGACACCATTGGTGCGCGATGACCCCGATGAGTTGCAGTCGCTATCGTCAGCCACCACAACAGAAGTGGGGAAGAAGAAGGAGGCTGAGAATTTTGAAGCGGAGCAACAAACACTAGCCAAGGTTGTCCACCTCGTCGCAAACGATGATCTCGACGTCAAATTTCGCGCATTTTCGATGGCACGACGTGCATTCTTGCTGAGCGGTGTATTTCGGATTCGTTTCACTCTTGTGCCATTAATCTGCCAGTCGCTAACGCTTGCTCGAGACCTAGCAGCTCATTCTCAGGAAAAGCCGCAAAGCCAAGAGACTAAGGCAGACTCAGAGATTACTGCATGTGATGGTAACTTGAAGGCTTTTGTTACAACGGCTCGGGAGGTGCTTCAGTTTGTACATGAGATGGTGACGGCATTAGCATCCAAGCAGGATGCGCTTTCGGTGTCGTGCGTTCATTTGTTTCTGCAATGTGCTCTCGTAGCTGATGACTGTGCTTTTGAGGCGATTGCATGCGAGTTTATCACGCAGGCTTTTATTGTGTATGAAGACCAAATTACGCTTGCACGTGACCAGTGGCGCGCTTTAGAGTTAATGGTGGCATCATTGCGTGCAACTCGCAATCTTTCGAGCACCAACTACGAAATTCTCGCGACCAAGACTACACAGTACTCTGCTCGACTACTCAAGAAAAACGAGCAGGCTTTGATGGTGCTGAAATGTGCGCATCTTTTTTGGGTAAGTGTATGCGCTGTAATTACTTGCTCGAGGCTTCATGAAACATACAGTTTCTGTGAATGTTTCATCGTTGTTTCTTATGTTCTTCTACACAGCACCCGTCTCAGCGAGATGGCAAGCGCGTCCGCGAATGCCTTCAACGATCGCTACGCATTGCGGATTCAATGAAGGACGTGGTGTCGAACCAGGTTTTCCTTTTTCTGGATATACTGGAGGCTGTACGTTGAGCTCCTAAATGGGCAGAGTCTGGTTCAATCACACTAACATGCTGCTGCGTCATTGCTGGCGGCTTTATTGCTGGTAAACAGTATGTGTATTTTTTTGAGATGCAGACGCCTGAAGTGACCCGCAACTACTTGGTGGGTCTGTTGGCACTCGTGAAAGATCACCTTAATAACATGGAGCTTGGACAGTCGCGCAGGGAAGGTGAATTCCGTTATCGCGCCATTATGCGCTACATAGATGCCTTGGATGTATCCAGTGATGCACTATCGACCTCGTTTTCACCGTCATTGCGGTAGTACCTATTTATAAACCTGGCGATCCTGTCTTGCAGCATTCTCGAATGCGTCAATGCGTTAAATGCGTTAATATCGTCTTGAGTCTAACATTTGTTCGGTACGCAAGACGTTCATTGCTTCAACGCTGTGCATTGTTTGATCGTGCAGTGTCGGAGTTTATGTGTTCGACATGCGAGCGTCATTTCAAGAGAAGGAACGGTGTGCTGAGAATTACAAACTCCTGCAAAAACAGTGTAACTCTTGTCATGGCAGTAGTAACTCCAACTGTCCACGTCTGAAGAGATCAAAGTTGTAGAGATTAGCATGTGCAGCACAGATGTCTTTGCAAATTCGAAACCGGCACAAGACTAGTGCGTTCTGTGGTCAGAACGCTTTTATCTTTTTTCAGTGGTCCAGGTCTCCTAAAAGTAAGACAATATCAGCATCAAGCAGTCTTCTTCTCTCTCTCTCATCTCTCTCTTGTTGTATTTACTTGATTGTTTCCTTTTTTTCAATCAGGAGTCTGCATGACGTAGCCGCAATTGCAAGTGAGCTCCAATCTTCTGCCTGTTTAAGGAGAATAGAATGTTTACCACCTTTTGACACTTTAGTGGCCACCATGGTAGCCTTCCTTCATCTTGTATCGCACACCACAATACTTGCAGGTTTGCGGCGTGTTGTATTCACGCGTGTCTAGCTGAATATACTCGGCTGGATGACCCAAAGCACCACCACCACCATCACATACAGCTAGACTGCTTTCCAGCTCCACAATCGGCACCTTGGCAATCCGGAGCTCAGCATCGCTGCGATGACGATTAATGTCCTAAATCAACGTGTTTTTTACAAATAAAACAAGGCAAATTAGCACTTGTGACAAAACATAACGCCCAGCCCCATTTTTCGTCGACTCACTTCGTACGGCGTCTGGAGGTCGTAGATCGTCGTGAAGCCCGCGATATGTTGATGAAACGAGGTGGTATCTAGTGATGCCTTACGCAGACCACATGCACGCACTGCATTGGTAAAAAATGTCTTCGAGCTACGACGCAGCATCTTGTCAGTCAGTCGTCTTGTGGCTTGTTTTTACTGTCAAACGTGAGGTCATTGCCATAGTTATGTATTCTTGGTGTATTTTAGATCATCGTGTTAAGTACGATTGTATTTATGGGCCTTCTTGCATGAACAACCACAATGACGGCGCTGATAGCGGAGATTTCAAACGTTTTTACGGCGCCATGTTTATCCGTCCCTTCAGTATTCGAATGTAATCCACTTGTTTCTTCTACCAAGAATTTCTTACAATCACGTCCTGCTGGTGTATACACGTGTATACGAGCACCATCCGACTTCATGGTAGTCGAAATGAATCTATCCAGAGTGTTGGTCGAATGGTCCTTTCACTTGCAACGGTTGTCAACTGGTATGATTACGATAGATCCAAACTTCAACAAGAATAAGCTGAAGTTGATGAAAATGGCTACAGAATTAGTGGCTACTACTGTCTTAACACAATGGTATGCAATAGAGACGCAAGATGGACTGGTCTCGATACTTTGGTATCCATTTCAAGAGAGTAAAGAGTATGGCGTTGCTGTTCACGTTTGTACAATGCCACGACCAAAGTGTCTTGCATCAACGGTGTTGGTCTATGGAGAAGGACGAAAGAATGCTCGATGCAAACACACGCAATGGATCAAGGACCGAGTGCCAATCGAAAATTACATGGAACACTTGATCCAGACGCGTGGTGAGTCAATTCATGAGGTTTTGTTGAGTGAAGCAGCCGAGGGAGATGAGAGATTGCTGCTAGAAGGCCTGATCACGAACTTTTTTGTTGGTAAGGGCGGCGACTGTTGATAAGGTGAGAGGATTGAAGAAGAGGAAATAACATCATGGTGTATGTGTGTGCGTCTATTGACTAATGCAGTGAAAGACGGACAATTGGTCACGGCGGGTACAAATGTTTTGGAAGGAAGTACAAGGGAGTTAGTGCTGAAAGCCTGTCGTGATTTATCCATTCCGGTGGTTTTTCAGGCCCCAAAGCTTTCAGAGCGGCATTTGTGGCAGGCAGCATTTGTTACAAGTACCTTAAGCTATTGATTGAGGAACTGAACTTGTTGATTTGCTGATTTTGTGTTGTGTTACATGTGTAGGCGCGGTTCGTATAGTGGTTGATGTCACGCGTTTGTTGTGCGAAGAAAAACATGGAGAGCATGTGGTACTTCAAGAGACCTTGATTCCTAGCGACAAAAGTGAGTTTACAAAGAGAATTCGAGACCAGATATTGATGCAGCGTATGTATCTCAAGTAAGTTACTGCATCGTCACGGATCCAAGACGTGATCAGATTGAAGACACTTTGACAAGAACCTCATATTAGAAGATCAATGAAACCAGTCATGAAGGCGTTAAACTCGTCCAGATATGCTATTGCAGCTCTTTCAATGCACCTCTAGAGCGTTCATTCAGCATGCTCGCGTATATCTGAACGCTTTTCGCTATTCTCCGCCGCAAGTAAAGCGATATCGTCTCAATAGCACCGCACAATAAGGATATCCACGTCTGGAAAGATATAGCGTGGTTGTCATGTGAAGCGATTAGCTCCATACAATTATTGTGCAGCTCCGAATTGGTCGATATATTAGACTTAAGTAAAGTATGATAGATAGCGTATTGGCGGGTTCTGCACTAGTCACCCCGCAACACAAATATGCATCAGGCAGTCTGAACGATTTTTGATTGGCTAAAAGTAGCTCACTTGAAAATAACATGGGTAGCATATGATAAAAACAAATGGGTACCTTGTGATTGCGTGGACCCAAAAATGTTTGGATACTTTGTATCCATCCATTGTACCTCATTATTCATTAGTACCCAATTTTTTGCCACATCATGAACGTCTCTTCTTATTGGCAAGCGCCATACTTTACCGAGCCTAAATGGCGACCTAGCACAAGTTCTGTGCCTTATTTTCAGAGTACACTAATGTTTATGACCATTGTTTACTTGTTTATGACGTATCTAGACCTTCGTCAACACCGTAAACTACACGACAAGGAGTTTCCCAAGCCTCTTGAAGAAGCGATTCAAGGGCTTGGAAAATACAGTCTCAAGACGAAAGAATCAGATACGAAAGAATCAGGTGACCACGAATCAGATGGTCAAGAATCAGATACAACTCTGCTTGCTGCTACAAAGGCTAAATTTGACAAGAGTCGTGCCTATGGACTGGAAAAGAGCACGTTTAGTTTTGTCAGTGGCGCGTACAACCAGATGGAGGCCACAGTATTTCTACTACTGGGTTATTTGCCCTTTATGTGGACAATAAGTGGTCAGGTCTTAGCGGCTTTGAATCTGGACGCTCATAATGAGATTTATAGAGCTTTAATGCTCCTGACACTAACAAGTATTCGAGATACGCTCGTGCAGATTCCTTTTGACCTTTACTCGACATTTGTCGTGGAAGCTCGTCATGGTTTTAACAAGCAGACATATGGGCTTTTCTTTATGGATAAGATCAAGACCTTTGTGCTGTTTCTCGTCATTGGATTTCCAGTTACAGCAGTATTGATCTATGTCATTCGATGGGGAGGAGAGTATTTTTATATGTACGTCTGGGCTTTCTTATTTGTCTTCTCAGTCATCATGATGACGCTTTATCCGGTGCTCATTATGCCGCTATTCAATAAATTCACACCGCTAGAAGAGGGTGAACTCCGCACACGTATTGAAACACTAGCAGCAAGTCTTCACTTTCCGCTGACCAAACTTTTTGTCACGGACGGCTCCAAGCGCTCCAGCCATAGCAATGCCTACTTCTTTGGACTGTTCAAGAGCAAGCGCATTGTGCTTTTTGACACGCTCTTGAAGCAAGCGACAAACGATGAAATTGTTGCCATTCTAGGCCACGAGCTCGGACACTGGAAGCTTTGGCACACTGCGCAGGGCTTTGTGATCCAACAGGCATATATTCTCGCCTCGTTCTATGTGTTTGGCCTCTGCATGAACGATGCCGAGCTTTTTGCAAGTTTTGGGTTTGCAGGCGACTCGACAAAGCCTGTAATCATCGGTTTCATGCTCTTTTCACAGACCGTCTGGGCTCCGGTAGAGCACGTGCTGTCGTTCTTGATCACTCTGAACACGCGCCGAAATGAATTCCAGGCAGATGCGTTTGCGGTGGACCTTGGCCATGACGTCGCACTCAAGTCAGGACTCACCAAGCTTGCCATTGAGAACCTGTCCAACATGAACCCTGATGCGCTGTACAGTGCCTATCACTACAGCCATCCACCTCTTGTTGAGCGTCTGAATGCTATCACGGCGCGTGCTAAGAAATCGCAGTAAGAGCGACTGTGACGTCGGTAGGCAACGTGCCACGACGTAAACGTTCGTTTGGGGTTTGAAGCTAATGATTTCAACACGATATTCGTAGCTCGCTTGTGTTGTCATATGCCATTGCACGTTTTGATCTTGTTCCGGCGGAACGCAGTGAGTGATTATGTTTGCACACGCACTAATGTATTTACTTAAATTGAACAGCCTTGCTTGCTTCCCTGACAGCAGCTCAGATTGTCCTTGTCTGCGTGATTCAAGTCAAGAAGACAACGGTCGAACTCTAAGCACACGCATCCGTACGCTCCGTTTGTTGGGTGGTACGCGTAGCTAAGAAGGGCTTCTGGCCAGCACGACGTAGCGCATTCGTGTCTGATTCGGGTTGTAAATGATATACTCGCTGTGGTGTAGTCCCGTACGTTCTTCAGGCTGGACTGGTTTGCCTACAGGCCAGATAGCACCATGAGTGTCCAGGACTTCACCTGTGGGATCGGGACGACATGACCCAACACCTTTACAGCTGTGGTAGTACGCTCCCTTGGCGCGTCCGCCTGCTCCTGTGTGTACAAACTGTTTTGCGTTGTCGTCCGAGTTCAGCATCTCCTTGCTCTTGCCCAGAGCTACTTCACTCAGAGCAAAGACGCATTGGTTGTGCCCATTTGTAGGTCGGCAATGGCAATACGCCTGCGCTTTCGTCACCTTGTCTGTAAAGTATAGTCCTTTGCCAAAAGTTCGTCCATTCGATGCTACCTCTGGCGGTGCAATTTGCAACCCTTCCGACAAGATGCCCGACCAGTTTGCCAAGTGGCTGCCGTGCCACAGAATCTGACAACGGAGCAAAGCAAACACCCGTCACCACCACCAGGTCAAAACAACACAATCATAGTAATCAACAACTCGATCCAACCCAAAAGCTTTTGACACCTTACCCGCCGGTTGGCAAATTTGCGAAAAGGCTCAAAACGCGTCTCCTGCTCGAGTTTCTCGACGCGAAAGACTGAAAGCAGCTCCAGCCGGTCTTGCTTCCGACCACAGCAGTTCGAGTTGCGAATATATGTCTGAATTAGTGCAAAGTCGGAATCCGATGTCTTCACAGGTTCTAGTTTGCATTCTAGCAAATTGTAACACTCATCCAAGTAGTTTCTTGAGCTACACTGTCGAGCCACTGGCTCATGGGCCATTCCACGTACGTTAACACCAACTTCAGCCATTAGTTGCACCTTCTTGCCAAGTTTTATCATCGTATCGATAACCTCCAGACGCGAGTGATGCGGAATAAGAGAGAAGAAGTGGCTACTCAGATTCGTCAATCGCGCTCGAGACACCTGCCGGCTACAAAGTGCTTCGTAGATTTCCTCCAACGTCTCGTATCCCTGTCCATAATAAAACGTGCACATTAGCACAATTGCATTACCGTAGTCATAAAACAACGAAACGCAGACTCTGGCATATTACGTACGCGCTTGATAGTTGTTTTGGACAGCCGCCCAAGCGGTAGCTTCATGATAGCGTCGCCCAATAGATCATCGGTGACTGTGTATGCGTACGACAGCTCGGTATGATCAACAATAAGAGTCAAGAAGTCCTGTACCTCAATGGGCAAGCGCGACGGTGGAGCAGTAGCGCATGCACAAATCAATATCTCAGAAGAAGCTACACAAGCCGTATCACCATCCGAGTTTGCATACAGCCAGTCAAATTGGGTGCTCAGGGATCGCTGCACCCTTGTCGTTGTTGTTGTTGTTGTTGTTGGCGTAGTAGTTGTAAGTGTCGAATTAGGTGAAGAGTAATTCATTTTCACGGCGCCTCGACGACGCTTGCGACTCGAAGACGACGCTGCTTGAAGCGGCGGTGGCGACCTAGGCACGAGATCAAAATCTTGAAAACTATCTGCATTGTCCATCTCGCCCTGATTATCCATCAGTGCATTTGTAAGCGACTCCGAGTATGGAGTACCAGTTGAATAATCCAATTCAATCCACGTATAGCTTCCTTCCTGATATCGTAGCGCATGACGCTCTTCCCACTCACATTTTGTGTTGGTTAAGAACAAGGTGCAAAACTCAAGCGTGACCTTTGCAACACTTGAAAATGGGCCTGTGAGTGTTGTTTTACCTGCACATCCAACTCGTCCTGCTCGAGTCCAGAGGTAAAAGTGTTGATCAAACTCAAGCGCTTGGAGTGCAATAAATTCGCTATGATTATCATGAACACGTGCCTAGAAATACACAAGACACAAGACACGCGACATAAGTCTCTCAATCTTTCTATACGGGAAGATCAAAACAAGTAGCTCACTCTTGTGAGCATTGCATTATAATAACTTCCTCCATGTTTTAAAACAAGAGCTCGACGTTGATAAGCCTCTGGTACATATGGATCTGGTCGAATCAACTCCAGGATCTTTCCTTCTTCTTCATCATCATCATCATCATCTTCTTGTGTCTCTTGTTTCGTCTCATGATTGCAGCATTTCACCTTCATCTCATCCTCTTCATCTGGTAACTGAAGTTTCACGGCTTTTGCATGACGACGTGACATCATTCTTTTCTTAAGCGGTGGTGATAAGACTGGTAATTGAGACACACCTAGCTGAGAACGTGTACTTGCAGCCACACCTGATCGTTGTATTGTCTGCACTCCACGTGGTACATTTAAACGACGTGGTCGATTGGGTGTCATGGGTGATGGATATGAAAAAGATGATGACTTCATTGCAAGAGCAGGAGATGAAGTAGCGCGAGATGAAGTAGCAGGAGATGAAGGAATGACAAGTGGATTGGAAGTAGTAGATGAACGACGTTTCTTTGCCATGAGAAGAATAACCAGAACAAGAACAAGAACAAGAGAAGAAGAAGAAGAAGAAGAAGAAGAAGAAGGGAGAAGAAGGAGAAGAGGAGCGTCAAGTGATGCAAACGAGGCTGGAAGGGAACTGGGTTTTCCTAATGTATTGATTATGAACTCTCTCTATCGATTGGGGGGGTCTGTTTGGTTGTCAGTCTGTTTGTCTACTATCTATCTATCTTTGTTTGGGTCGGGCCTGTTCATTTTGTCAGTCTTAATATTTGTATGGAAAACGCTTATTATATGTGAGCTTTGGATTTTGGTGTGAAACAGGTTTTAGAGGACATTATTTCTTCATGAAAAGACGTGCAAGGAAGAATGAATTATCAAAGAGTAAGAGGGTTGTTTGATTCAAGTAACAACAAACTTGGAAGGGGTTATAATTGATCATTTGGTTTTGAAAACCAATTGAAATCCGCAAAAGTGCCATGTAAAGTGAAAAAACATGTCAGGTCAATACTTTGTTTGGAATGGAAAAGTATTTGTTTTAACAAGTTATTACACATAAGAACTTATCTTCAACGAGGGTCACCATGTTGAAGCGCATCTCAGATCTGAGAACTGGCCCTGCTTTTTCACATGCACACGTGAGTAAAAACACATTATCCTAGATGTCATTCTAACGAGGGGAAGTTGTATTCTGACTCCATCATTGTCACCTTCGACCAACCTAATCCACATGGCAGCCGTAGGTGCTGTCGTCGACGCTGTCTTTGGGTCATATGACATTAAGAATGCAAAACAATGGCGTGATGAAGATCTACTACATCGTGAACAGGAGAAACAATGGCGAGAAGATTCGATACAGCGTGAATATGAATGGCGACGTGCTGATTTAGAACGTGAACGGCGCGTCGTGAAGCTTGAGAATGAAAAGCGCATTATTGATGCACGACATCGACAGCTTGTGACGGTTTCACAAATGTCGGCACTTCTTGCCGGTTTTACAATGTCTACAATTGTTGAAGTGCAGATTGCAGATGCCACAAGTGAACCCATTATTATTGCATACGGTACGGTGTGTTGCATGGAGGTGCGAAGGATTTTTTTTTACTGTAAAGCTACCTCATGGAAATATGGACTAACAATTACTATCTACTACTACTGCTACTGCTGTGGTTGTTTGTTTGCTGGTGTTTGTTTCGATTGTTTACAGTTTATCGTCATGTTAATGTGCATGTTAACATGTATGGTCTTACTACTAGCTCTCACGCGTTTTGTGACGCATACATTGGAAGGAGAGGTACATGCACTCTCATCCTTGGAATTAGATATTGTATCACCTTTCTACGGCTGGTGGTTAATCAAGTGTGAACATGAATGGATCATGGCTTACCAACTATTCCATCTTGGGTTATCTCTCTTCCTTGCACAAGTGGCGCTACTCGGTTGGGCCGTCTTTGGGGGAGTGGGTCGTTGCTGCATCATGCATGACCGTATTATGTCTAATAACATTTGCGTACTTGGAGCTTCGTGTAGCAGGTCGATGGAGATACCTCGTGCGATTTCCAGAGTCACAAACGTCTGGATCACTTACAGCAAGGAGACCGGACGATATGTCACCACCTGTCATCTCATAAATTAAGTGATAGCATTGCCATTCAATGCTATTTCCAAATATACGAGCCAGTCATTCGAATTTTCCTCATGGTTCACGTCAAGGTTGACTCGAGTTTGTGTACTTGCATTAGACGCTGTCTAATAACGTTGCATGCTTTTTCTTATGGCCCCACATATATATATATATATTATCTAGCATACAATTCCACCATTTCAGACAATTCATACTTAATCAAAGTCTATTTTTTCCACTGGCAAATGTTTCTGAGCCATTCGTGGTCGGTCATTGAGCTCCTCACTTGTTCATTAGAACAATGACAGACCAATTTGTAATCCATAAATTTGGTGGTACATCTGTCGGGAATGCTACTTGCTTTGCAAAGGTAGCAAACATTGTCTCGCAATTAAAAGCATCACGTGTAGCAGTCGTTGTATCAGCTATTGGTGGGAACCCAAAGGTGACAGACCTGCTGATTTCACTCCTTGAGTTAGCAAAACAACGTCGTACTGCTGAATGTCGTGAGGTTCTAGCGACGATTCAATTGAAACACCATGACGTCGTGAATGCGCTACTTCCTCGACATATTCGTGACCCTATTGAAAAAGCTATTGAGCACGATCTTCAATCCATCTCGGACCTCCTGCGCTCGATCTCCATAATGCAGGATTATAACGACAATATCGTCGAGTTTATCTCGGGTCATGGTGAAATCTGGTCAGCTAAAGTCCTGACTGCTGTATTGAGTGAAAAGGCTCGAGCGGATGGCAAGACACACGACTTTCACTATGTAGATGCTCGTGACTTTTTAACAGTCGAGCGAGATACTGAGCATGGACCGATTGTCAAGTATGATCTATCGATGCAAAAGATGCAACAGATTGTAAAGAATGGAGAGAGTGAACAACTGACGCACCTTGTCATCACTGGATTCATCTGCAGTACGGTCGAGGGTGTCATGACGACGCTTAAACGAGACGGCAGTGACTTTACGGCCTCGATCTGTGGTCGGGTGCTCCATGCAAGCAGTGTCACAATTTGGACGGATGTTAGCGGTGTGCTGAGTGCAGACCCACGTCGTGTCCCGGAGTCGCGCATTCTACAGGAGATATCGTACCAAGAAGCCATGGAACTTGCATACTTTGGTGCTAAGGTCATTCATCCAAAGACCATGACGCCTGCTATTGTCGAGGATATCCCCATCTACATTCGAAATACATTTGATCCGGAACATCCTGGCACACGAATTGCACATCGTAAGAAGGTGGAGTTCAAGCGCTCCATGTCGAACGGTGCACCGACGGCACGCAATATTGTAAGTGGGTTTTCCACGGTAGATGATCTGGCATTGTTTAACATTGAAGGAAGCGGCATGGTAGGCGTGCACGGCACGTCGTCACGGCTGTTTAGCGCACTGGACCGCGTAAAGGTGAATGTTGTGCTCATTGCACAGGCTAGTTCAGAGCATTCGATCTGTTTTGCAGTACCTATGGACTGTGCTGATGTAGCAAAGGACGCTATTAACGAGGCTTTCTTCAAAGAGATCCACATGGGACACATTGACAAGGCCGAGTACATTGCGCCAGTTAGTATTATTGCTGCCGTGGGTGACCAGATGAACCAGACTCCTGGTGTGTGCGCCCGTTTCTTCAGTGCGCTGGGTCGTGCCAAAATCAACGTGTTGGCAATCTCACAAGGATCGTCGGAGCGCAACATTTCAGCTGTGGTGCACTACAAGGATTCGGCTACTGCTCTGCGTTCTGTGCACTCATCTTTCTTCCTGTCGGACCAAACCCTTTCCATCGGTTTGATGGGACTTGAATTCGGAGAAGACGAGACAAACAGCATTGGTGTGGCACTGCTGAAGCAGTATCACCAACAACGCGAGTTCTTAAAGCAGCGCTTCAACGTGGATATCCGTGTGCGCGCTATCGGCACTCACATGTCGTCGCAAATGCTACTGGACGTCGAGGGCAATATCACTGAAGCGGCCTTATCGGCCCGGGAAAGCGAGTTTGTGCCTTTTGACCGGAACAAATTTCTGAATCACGTGTGCGCGGACCATCTTCCTCACTGGCTTATTGTTGATGTCTCCAACAGCTTCCACCACGTGAAGGATCTTTACCCGCAGTGGCTGCAGCGCAAGGTGCACGTCGTGACTTCCAACATCAATGTTTCTTCAGCCACTACGATGCAGCACAGTACCCTGCAGGAAATGGCGATTGAGAACGAACTAACGTACGACCCGGAGGCTACGCTTGCCATTGGTGTCCCCATTTTCAACACGATTCAGAACTTTATCCAGACGGGTGACGATATTCAGCGGGTAGAGTATACGGGAAGCCGCTTCTTGCACGCTGTGTTTGACACCGTGTTTGCACTACCAGACCCCACGACGGCTGACCTAGAAATCATTATCAGGGACGTCATAACGCAGTTCAAGAATGAATTCAGCGTGCGCGACATTGTGGACGACGTAATGGGCGTGCGTAGCGCCAAAAAGGCGATTATGATTGCTCGCGAAATGGGCTACGATATGGAACTGAAGGACGTCAATATTGAGAGTCCGTGGGAGGCGAGCGCCGTGGTGGCAGGCAGTCAGGATGAGGTTGGAGCCTGGAGCTATGATTACCTTCTGAAGCATTTGCTTGCGGCAAGCAATCCTCTGAAGCAGCAGATCGCCAAGGAAGCAGCAGATCCAAAACAAGCAGTGCAGCTACGCCAAATGACTTATATTGATGCCAGCAACGGAACGATCTCTGTACGAGTAGAGGCCTTGGCCCCGACACACTCGTTTGCCTCGCTCAAGAGTCGTCAGGGTGGCTTTGCATTTTACACACTGCGGCATTCACTGCACCCCGTAGTTGTCACAGGTCCTATTGCCGACTGCTCGATCACAGCGGGTTCGCTTTTCGGCAGCACGCTATTTCTCGCGCGGAATTGCGGTGCACGCGCCCATAACTGCAGTCAAAAGCCATGTAAACTGAAGTTGGAATCAATAGCGCAAGATCCAGAGAAAATTTCTCCGAGCAGTTGAGCATCAATATACAAGAGAATGCATGGACGCAAAAGCACATGCCACAAGTCCATCAGTTTACCATGTTATTCAATCGAACAGGATAATGACGCACTTCTTTTTTTTTCGCTGCATTATCATGGCAATGGGACACTCAATCTCCTTCTTCTCGTGACGAGATATCTCCATTTACTAGCAATCCACAAATTATAGTGCAATAATCCACCGACGCAGAGCACAGAGACAACAAGAGCTGCAATCATGGAGCGGACAAATACAATCCAACTGATTAATCCAATCGTTACAAGAAAGAAGGATGCACCGGTCCGAAAGAATTGATACGCCAGTAGCCACTCTTGTTCACATTTAGTGACCCACCAGTCAATAAATGGTGACACTATATCCAACTCAAGATCCGACAAACGTAGTACTTGACCTTCTAACGTGTGTGTCACAAAGCGTGTGACTGCCAAGAGCAATAAAGTGCATGTTAACGTGCATAACAACATACACAAAAACTCAAGACACGCGATTGTGCCATAGAAAAGTACCAGCACTTGATTCGTACGATTCTCCAAGGACTTGATCTCTTGTATAAACATAATTGAAAAGAATCCCAAGATCGCTGATAGCTCTAAGATCGTTCGTAGCTGTTGAAGATGTGCATCCACAAGACGTTTCTCTGCCTCGAGTTTAGCCAAACGTCTCTCACGCTTTAGATCCGCGCGACGCCATTCGGTATCACGAAGAATTGCGTCTTCTCGCCATTGTTTTTGTTGCTCACGGTGCATTAAATCTTCATCACGCCATTGCTTGGCATTCTTGACATCGTATGAACCAAAGACAGCATCGACCACGGCCGACATGATGATGTATGGAGGAATTTTATTTAGATGGGTCTAAATTTAGAAACACATTAAAATACCAGGTGAGAGCGTTTTATTGCATAATAATGTGTATGTTGCATGAAGCACAGAAATCAGCCATTGGATGAGATAGAAAAAAGACACATGATGGAGGATAGGGTGGTAATTGTGTAAGACTGTCGTCTCGACATGACAGTCCTCAAGCGTGTGAAACTGTGAGATTTTATATTCGAAAACGCTTGTCGTACGTAGCTTCTTGAGGTTTTTTATGATTGGAAAAAAAGGTGGTCAGGAAAACCCCGTTATAAATGGTAAAACAGTCTACTATGGACGCGATATAGGATTCGTATGGTGAAAGAAAGACCTGCAACTTTTGTAAAGGCAAACATTCAGGCTTGACGCACCCCATTGTCGCAGGGCTAGTATAATAAGCCTTTTGTTAGCGGGAACGCTTGATATCTCATCACAGGGAACGTATGATATATCCTGGACTGAACCCACTTGCTTTGTTCAGCATTGAATTGTATCTCACCACTAATTTTTGTAACAAATGCTTACTTACACTAAAAAGTCTCGTGTAATAACGCTCTAAACGAGCTCTTGGCCTTGCTTAACTTACCATATTTTTACTATTCCTGGGACACTCAATCCATTAGCTTTCATGTCCGTAGCAGCATTCTTACAGCATCGCAAAAGTTTATGCCAAATTCCAGCGACAACTGAACAAATGTGTTGTAGTGTTATGCTACGTTATGATGATAGCAAATGACGGGTTTTACCTGGATATGAACACATCGCTCTGCTCTATAGAAGCAGCTGATGGAGTGGAAATCCTTATCCGCCAAGCTCTAGCATGTGCTTTGGTCGTGGTTTTTCCTTGCGTGATAAAGAAATGATAAATATCCAGCGTTTAGGCGACGCATGTCAATAATGGCAGTGACAAGAGTCGTCTGTCTATAGGCAATTGGGATAAATATTCTTGATGAAAAAGTGGGCGTCATGTTGCCGGTTGCAGCGTGGCGCGTAGACGGGTCATTATGAGTCACATTCTTCATGCTACTTTAGAAGATAATCTCATATTACATCCTATAACCTGCAATACTACATTTACAAATGGTTTTTATTTGTATGGTATACGGCCGTATATTCTTATAGTATCTATAACTAACTAGAAATAAATAATAATGTGTGTCACAGGAAAATTGCGATCGTCGATGTAGGGCTTGGTTGAAGTGAAAGAGTGAAGGTCCCCGTTACAACAGTTACTGCGATGCAGTTGTTGTCCACCGAATACGTAAATGGTCCGTCCTCAGTATTAATTTTACGCTCTAGACCTCAATACAGCAACAGCAGCAGCGGCGTGGGGCTGATACCATGACGCACGGTAAAGTATCGCGTGTTGTAGCGCGACTGTTGCGTCCTTTTCATCACCGCAGCAAAGCGGAGAACGCATCTGCCATGCGCAAAAGTGGCTGTCTCGCATCATCAATGACCAATACTTCTTCCACTTGCTCCACAGCTTCCTTAACTTCACGGAGTAGCATCAGTTTTCGCAAAGCTACGGCTGCACGTGTCTTTACATTGAAGAGCAACAGTGACGGCATTCCACACACGGTCATGATGCCGCTTGCATTTTTTCGTCACATGCGTGCACTTGTAGAGCAGACGATGGCTCTTACGATAGGTGATCGGATGCGAGCAAGTTGCAAAGGACACGAGCCTTCATTCTCGGGCTCGAGAGCCAGTATTCGTTGGAGAGGAGACTTTAGCACCAAGACTTTTGACAAGCTCATTGTTATTCTCACGGAGGACGAAGTGGATGGGTTTGCTGCTTCGATCAGCAGACGTTCAGCTAAGCCGGTGCCATTGGAAACAGTGGCCAGAGCCATGCTTCAGCTGTGGAATTGTTGCATCCAGATACTGGAGATACTTGCGGACGGTGCAATTCCAGAGCCATCTCTGAGGCATACGATAGCTCACTCGAAAGATGTGGCACTAGCGGCTGCGACTGAGAAGCGACGTCGGCTGGAACAATCAGCGTTAACATTGCTTGTGTTGGTGATCAGGAGACAAGAGTTGGATGCTCTTTTGGTCACGGTAGGCCACGGCGGTTGCAAGTATCACAAGCCTACAGAGGAGGCGGGACACACCATGGCTCGATTGTCGCGTCGTCTGTCGCGCAACTCGCGTCAATCGCGTAATATTTACACAAATGTCAATAGCGGCAATCGATCTTTGCAATTGGTGACTTCAAAGCGTCATTCAAGGAAAAGTAAGAGAAGACAGGACCGCAATCTCAGGCTATGTGACGCTGTGCATCGGTTCTTGGAGCTGCATCAGTCGACGCTGGAGTATGCGTTTGAGACGGTATACGGTCCTGTTGACTGCAGTGGAAGAAGAAGTGAATTCAATCCGTTTGATCAGCACCAGGAGCTTGTATCGGCGTTGGTAGCTACATCTTACATGCGCGCACCGCCGCTGCGCAGCCACATACTTGACCACTTGAGCAATCTGGTACCAGCATCGGCGTTGAGCAGTACCAACTCGGTTTCACGCTCTTTTCTTGATTCTCGTGCTCGCGGCACGTCCTCGTATGAAGAGAACCTGCGATTGACGCCGTACAACTGGCACAACGGCGTGTACTCGCAGTGCCAGAATCTCCTGACAACGGTGAACCGTGAAGATTGTTGGGCTTCTTCAGCGCAAAGATTGAGCCAGCTTATGGTGGACTCGGACGGCGTCATGCTAGTTCTTGCACAAATCTTCGAGCATCTCACCGGCCATCAAGTTTTGGGACGTACCGATTGGAAGTGTATCCCTGGCGCCGCAGTGCTCAAAGACGCGACGTTAGAGATCGTGAGAGGTGTCTTTCACACGGAACTACAACAACGCGAACCCAAATGGCAAGAAGATGTGGAGGAGGAAGTTGGCAACAAAACTGCTTCGGATAGCAAAGAGGACGCTATGCCATACCGCGACACATCCTCTCTGACGGACGGAGATATTGAAGAAGTTAACGCGCTGAGTGTGTACTTTGCTGTCCAGGTGACATCGATGATGAACGAAAACGTAGAGTTCATTCACGAGTATTTGATGACAATCCTCCAATCTACCAACTACATGTTGCCACATCACGTTACTCTGTGCCTGCAATACATGGAGAAACTCATGTTGGACTTTCCAATTTTCTTCTCGAGCGAGTCTTCTGCAGAAAATCTTCTGGCTGTCGCGACCGTGGAGACCTCGAACCTGCACAGCCAACCCCAGCAGAAACATTTATGTGCCGACGTGGAGACACTGCGCTATGTTTTTTCTTGTCTTTTGGATTCAGAGCACTTTGAGATCTTGAAGGCAACCGAGCTGTTTCTACTGAGAAACTTCATGAGCCTTTCGGTCTTGTTGCAACTTCAGCTGACGGACTTGTTTGCATTGCATCTGAAGCGGCTATTTCTACATTGGAATCATGACGTTCGTTATTGCTACTACCATATCCTGTTGTATCTGACATATCCTGGCAATCGCTTGGTGCTTGGGGCTAAATCGGATGAAGTTCTCATGGGTTCAGAGGCTTCCCGACTATTTGAAATACCTGGTCTTGTGCGCAATGGAGATACCGTCAACTGGGACGCATTCGATACGCCACTTGTTCAAATTGTTACACGCTATTTACAAATGCTAAAACGTCGATCTCGTGTACAACAGCCATCTACATGGGTCGACGCAGTCCCTGAATCGATTGTGTATCGTGCTGTGAGCGAGTACAAGACACACGTAATAACGTACTTTACGTATGCTCAGAAGCTATCGATGCACCAGCGCGTACCTACACCTGTTTTCTCCGTCAAGACTGGAGAGAATGATCCATCTTCTGCCGATACTGATCGTCCTCGTGCCGTGACATTATTAGCTTGAAGTCACCTTTGAAACATTTATTACAATATCATTTATTCAATATGATGTGGTGTACATGGAATATAATTGTAGACCAATATCTACCAATAGTAAAAGCAGAAGATAACCGTTTTCTTTTCAGCCACTCTTATGCGTTCGTATGATTAACCATATGATGATCATGTGTCGTAGTTTCTCGATCGTCTCAAGAGGTCGTCGTCGTGTGATATGTTCGCTGCAGGAACTACAGGATCTTCAAGGCAAAGGACTGAAGTTTCCTATTCGCTCTTTAGAATCGAAACAGCAATCAACACAAGCAGCTGATGCAGAAAAGGTAGAATTAACAAAACCTCGTCGACGTCGAGATCTCTTGACAACTGGCTTTGTATTTTTCAACGAAAAGACACAGGAGCCTCGTGCCTTTGTCAACAGGTACTTGATAATATAGAGATGGGGGTGAAGGGTTATGTTACTCATGTACCTGTTGTGGTCGATAATAGATGTCCACACGCGCTACTGGAGCTGGATTTTGACGACAGTGATTTTTTTTGCGAAGGCTTTATTCACTGCAAAGCCCATGCTGCATTCTTTGATCCAGAGACTGGAATATGTCTGCAAGGTCCTATTTCGTCACGGAAAAGCTTGAGGGTGCGTGGATGAAGAGATACGTCATTTGATTTGGTAGCAGAATGTTCACGTGTGATCATCTTGAATGTTGAGCAGGGCCTCGATGAGCTTCAAATAGTAATTGATGGTGAGAATGTTGTGCTGTTGGAAGATCAATCCAAGGAGTACACGTCATCAGCGGCACCTTATGACAGTCAAGGACTGGAGACTTACAAACGTACGAAACAACTTGAACTTGCAGAGGCTCTTTCAAGACGGTCGGAGTTGTCAGAGGTGGAAGAAATGCAGCAACAATTGCACGAGAAGACCATGGCACGGCTGAAGCAATACGAACAGATCGACGACTTTGTTCGTAGAAAATGACAAAGTAGTTAATATGTTAGGCACAGCTGTGGCTTTTGAGTGAGCTGAGGTTGGCAAGTAGAATGTTACGAATACTTGAGGCTCGATTAAAATGAAAAGGCAGTGCAGGTCATTGCTGATGCTAGTTACGCGCGTGTGTGGGACGCTGGAAATTGATTCCAAAGGCTACACATGTACTGTATTTGCCTCGATTTGAAGCAGAGTCGGACTAGTCGACATTCTGTTTAATGTTCCATGACCGACACAAAAGTTTATGATAACAATACAAATAGGTCAATTACTGGGTATAGTAGCCACACTAATATGCACGACAACAAGTTACTTGTTGTATATGTTAAGGAAACGATTGAATGCAAAGCTATTAATAAGCTTAGTAGGAAGTGATTGGAATAAGTAACATTTATATATCGCTATGTCAGACATGTAGACTGCAACAATTGGCGGTAAATAATAGGAGCACCATGAATCATTTGTCACGTGTCGCATAATCCAATCACAGATTCGGTTCTTTTCTATAGTAATCACTTTACTTCAACTTGGGTACGATCTATGTGTACGAAGGCGTGTCACAAAAAGAACCACCCAAATTCATGACAAACCCGTCATTCTGCTCGCTAAGTGTACTTCAAGCCATTCAAATATAAAGTCTACATCAGCTACAAATGGTGGCTTTTATGAATGACAAGAAAAGCAGTACTACATCAATTGTCGCAGCGCGTCTTGCTTGGTTCCACATGCTCAGGTTTATGTGAGCTCATGATTTTTCATCCCGTTGATACCATTGCCAAGCGTCTTATGACTCATAAAGAGCCTGTACGTGTATACTTTTAACCCTCTGAATCTTCATATTATCCATATATCATATCAAGATATTAATTATTAAATCACTAATCTAAATGCTCTTATACTGTAGATACACGGCCTCATTGGTCTGAATCAAGTGATATTCCGTCATGCCTATGAAAAGCCCATACTGCAACGCTATCGTTCCCTCTTTCCAGGTCTTGGCTTTGCTGCTGGTTATAAGGTCTCGCAGCGTATTTACAAGTTTGGTGGACAGCCGGTGGTCAAAGATTACATGATTACAAATCATGCTGCTTTTTTTGAACATACATTTGGCGAGCGTAATGCCAAGACCATGATGCACGCTTCAGCTGGTAGTCTCATTGGTGTTGGTGAAATTGCTCTATTGCCATTGGATGTGCTCAAAATCCGTGCCCAGACGAATCCAGCGGCTATCGCCGGTAAGGGCGTGGCCCACATCTTCAAGACAGAGGGCTTCGCACTGTACCGTGGCGCAGCCTGGACTGCTGCACGTAATGCGCCCGGCTCATTCGCGCTATTTGGTGGATCAGCTCTTGCCAAGGAGTACATTTTCCAATTGAAAGACTACAACAATGCGACCTTTTTTCAGAATTTTGTAGCCTCTATTTCGGGTGCTTCAGCTAGCATCATCGGTATGTAGTTGCTTTCGTGATAGTGTTGGCTTGAGGATCGAGCATTTCATTTACTGACCATGGTGTTGTGATTTTGTGTGATGATGATAAATTGACAGTGGCACAGCCGCTGGATGTAATCAAAACGCGTATCCAGTCGCGTCCATTTGACTCACCGGAAAGTGGCATGACAATTGTGCGCAACCTGCTCAAGACGGAAGGCCCTGGTGCTATGTTCAAGGGTCTGATCCCCAAGCTGTCTGTGGTCGGCCCCAAGCTTGTGTTCTCGTTTGCTGTTGCTCAGCACCTGATTGCGTACTTTGAAAAGTGCTTTAACTCGTAAAAAGGCGCTGGCCATTGAGTCCACACAACAGACATCACTTCGAAGTAAGTGGGGAAGAGGAAAAGACTTGCCGCCAAAATGTGTCGATGCTGGCACCGAAAGGCATGTTGGTGTTGCTGGACCATTAAGAAAAAAGCTTTGATATTTTTCACACTTGTCGTCGTCCTACAACTGCGTGTAAAGGTTACCACATGACTACTGTGCAGTGAGCAGATGATCTAGTACACAAAGTAGTACGGAGCATTTAGTCGTATGATTGTCTGCCTTAGCTGAATACAAGCTTCAGCATGGTACGGACAACAACGAGAATGACGCCTCCTGCAGCAGCAACAATTGCGAGCAGCAACAATGCAAGCTTCCACTTCCATAGGTGTTGAGAGCGTTGTGCAAAGGCTTGCGGTGGAAAGTAAAGCTGCAAAACCGAGGAAAGCGACTCGTTTTTCCCAATTGGTCGACCATCCGGACGCTTCAAACGTGGGAGTTCTAAAGAAAATAGGGCTCGCAGACCGTAGTGGTCGGACAGGTGTGTGATCGGTAACTCGTGCTTGAGATGACAAAGATGGTCGCTTTCTTTGGCACAGTCCTCGGATTTTCTGTCATCCACAAGTTCTTTGACGGAGCAATGGTCTATCGTCGTGCCCTCGCGCACTGGTGTCAATCGGAAGTGTGGCGATACAGTGGACTCGCATCTTACGCTGTCTTCGTCGCCCTCTTTGATAATGTTGCTGCTGGTAGTGGTGCCACGGGTTGCAGAGGCCGCCTCTGCTATCTGGCCGCTGTCTCCCGGAACGAAGAACATGTAGTCAATACACTTGCCATCCTTCTCTAGTGACAGTGGGTCTCCCTTGTGCACAAGTAAAGAGTGGCCATCACCATTCGTGATCGGGTGGATTTCATTGCCTAGCTTCGTCGTGTCATATTGCTTCATGAGGTCAGCGATCAATGATTCGGCTCTAGTGTCCTCATCAACAGCTTTCCCCGTCTGCAACGCAACTTGCAATCTTGCCTCGTGCACAACACGCTCAAGATTTGCCACAAGTTGTCGGTACACATCACTTTTCAAACAACGCGTTGATATTGCTGCACCAGTTTCTGTGTCATGCACGAGATTATGCCGTGCATCGAGGTTAAAGTCGCCCATGATGAGAATAGGCATTCCAGGATCGTCTTGAATCGTTTTGGCAATGAATTGGTGCATCTCCTGCAGTTGGGCAAGACGAATGGTGTACTCCTTGCGATCATCACCTGCTTGAGTGTGTGTAGTAAACACATGCAGTGACTCTGACAAGTCCGGTGATAGCTGGATACGAGCATAGAGAACGCCTTTGGCACAGACTCCATCACTACCCGAGCCTTGTGAATACGCAAGTTGATCACGTTCTACGATCGGATAGCGACTAAGGATCAGCAGTCCTCCATCAATTAAACGAGTATCCAACAGTTGTGGCCACACTGAGCCACAATGATAACGAAAACCCATAGCGTAAGCGTCGCGCACAAAGCGTTTCTGTCTTGGACCTACTTCAAACATTTCTTGAAGAATCACCACGTCAAACTCAACCATTTTACGCAGTAATAGCGTCAGCCGTAGATCTTTATGGTCACCAGACTTGAACCATTCACCACTGTGAATACCTTCAGGTCGACAAAAGATCTATAACACAACCGTTAGATCATCCTCATGATCATGATGCTGATACATTGTTGCGAACAAACGCTCGAGATTTACGTACATTAAGGCTGAGGATCGCAAGACGCTCTTGGACTTTACTCATAGCTAGCTATCAATTAATCAATGAGGTGAGAAGGAAGGGAGGTCAAATTTACTCGTCTGAGTATCTCTACGTCAATCGAATAATGATCTGACAATCTCGTGATCGGAATCTTTCAAGATTGTTGTCAAAGGCCACGTACGTAGTAGCTAGCACTTGATCTTTCAATTAGACTAACGCACACAACAAGTGCTAGAGCAATTGAATCGGCCTCTTACTTGAGCTCAAAGGACTTCCGTAATGTTTTTGTTCATAGAAGCAGCACAAAACGTCATACAACGTGTTTATTCAATGCATCTTGCGGTAGCTTTCTATATCTGCTATCACTTGGCTATCACTAGAGCTAAGCTCATGGTCATTTTGGTCGTATGAAAAAAGCGTCTCCACACAGTCACAGTCACACGCACACACCTCTCTTGATGGTGTGTGTATGTTTGTATGATTCAATGGATACCTTCACTACAAAAGGGTTTAACGAACATACGTCATTCACCAAGTTACGTTGTTGCCTTTTAAATAAGAAAACCCAAGCAAGAAAAGGCGTAAAGAGACCGATTTCAGACATAAGAGACGGACTGACTCATGCCATCTAGAAAATCACCAGACTCGATATCAACGTACGTCCTACATTTCAAACCTCCTGGCAATTTACTTGTCAAGATTCTAAACAATATCATCGCATTGTCTTGATGTATGGACTGGACGAGCCTCATCTTGATATCTTGACTCCTGCTTGGTTTTTTGTCTATCTTGTTTCTAGTGACCATGATGAGAATGCGTTTGGATGGCAATTGTTTCATGATCCACAGCGCAATTTGATCTATTACTTGCACAATTATACGGGAGAAGTCCGATGGCCACGACCAGAGACCGTGGGGTTTGTCATGCATGGACTCAAACCTTTACCTGCTTATAGTGAACTCGAAGCTAAAACGGACAGTACCAGTGTCGATCCTGACATTTGGAGCCCATACTACCCTCATGTGGTAATGTTACCCTCTGGTTTAGTTCAAGTCCATCCTACTCCTGGTTCCAACACGCAAGGCACGACAGAAATGTGGTGTGGATACAATCGATTTCCACTGACACATGTTGGAGATCATGAAGCACTTGCTGAGTCACACAGGAAAAAAGGACTCGATAGAGTCGCGATGCTGACGTCTGAACCGAGAATCCTGCCACCTACATGGGAAGAATCACGCAGTGGGTCACCTTTCTTGCCTCCGTATCCCGTAGCAATCCTCAAACGTGATGATACAGAGGGCAAGCATAACACTATGCCAAGATCACCTCTTCCCAGTCTTGACGAGCAGTTCCATACGCCTGTAGTTGAGACTCTACACATTTATGATCATCTCAAGAACGGTGATCTTGGACGAGTGCACGGCATCGTGGACTATGCAATGGCCACGAGCCAAAAAGCGACAAACGCAACACCTGCTTTCAAACATCCAGGTAAGCACAGACTTGGACATGGCCTTGCATCGGATAACTGATTAATCCCTTGTGTTTCTGCTATAGCTTGTCAAAAAGCGTTCCCGGCACCAAACACGGAGAAGAAGGAGCATAATCGAAAAGGATATCTACTTCGTCAGGCACGAAAATTGATGCGAGAGGGTGGTGGTAGTACACAAGCTATAGCTTCAGCATCAACGTCCAAGCAGCGTAAGAACCAGGAGACGGCAGTACCAACCATGATGAGACTCCAGCGTCCAGTGGAAGAGAACCACAAGAATTGTACGGCTTATAGAGATGAGACGACATTGCTAGTATCACAATGACGGAAGCAAGATGCGTCTGAATTCACACTATAAGGTGAGAATCAATCTATTTACACTTTAAGAGAAGAAGAAGAAGAGAATCAGTCGCATTAAGTCGAGAGATGGAAGGATTCTTCCCAACCATTCGATCTGATAATGAATTGAAGTGCGCCTCAAAAGACGTACTTAACACGTACTTAAGCATTTGCTAAAACCATGCTACCAAGAGCTCTTGGAACTAAGCGGTACGACCTCATACAGTGCTGGCAATTCTTTCTTTGTGCGTTGTTCTCCTCCATGGTTTCATGATAATAACGTATTGCAATATATTTGATGTAGTTTATGCTTCTTTACAGCAGTACAAACGCGAAACAAGATCACGGTTCCAGCTGCTGGAGGCGCCATAAGACATCGTCGTGTGAAGCGTCAAATTCCCAATGACAAGTGAGATTCAAGACGCGATGAAGAAAGAAAAGCAGTAGGAGACGTGTAAATTCAACCTGACGATTGTGATGAATGTGATAAAGATTTGCAGCACTATCCGTGGCGTTCTTTGACCGTGTTGAGACTGCAATGGAGCCACTTTATCCACCAACCAACAATGAATTTCAGCTCAAACGTGATGGAAGTGCGGATCTGGTTTCTTGTGATGGCTTTGATATTGGAGCTGTGTGGGATTTTGATTGTACTAGTGATGTTTCTAATTGTTGGTGAAAATGGTGATTTGTTAGATAAGGAGCTTGTCATTTGCACCAATGCTCAGGAATTTACAATCAAGGTGCTGTCATCCAAGCAGCAGATTGAATTGGTGTCTCCGGTAACAGTCGCACCGTTGTAAACATGAAGGAGTGTAGCATCCTGTAGTGACTGACTGTTCATTACTTCTCTATTTGGCAGGTATCCGGTTTGCGTACATACAATTGGAATGTCATGACCAAGCGGTGGGAAAACGAGGTGAGGCTGTGTGCAGCAAGTTTTGACGGTGCTTACACTAACAAACGATTCTTGCCGTTTCTGTTTCTTCAGGCTGACTCCCACGACATTGAAGGACTTCTTACGCGCGATTTGATGCGCTATTGCGCTGGCATTCCGCTCTTTTGAACCGTTTTGCCAGTGCGCGTGAGGTTGGAGGGACACTAGCCTACCAGATTCGTTGCAATGACAGCCCTGTGGGCCTAAGATGGATAATATCAAGCTTCAGTGGAGTGGGCAAAGAGGCTTCTACTATACGAGTGCCCACGCACCGTTGGCCGCACCAGCCTTTCGCATATCTTGATTGTATTGTCATGTTCTCGATGCTAAGCCCTGCTTTCTGTATTTGCTGGAACCTGAGCCAATCACTCCAGCGTCTTCAATAAGCGGAACAGCCCAGCTGCCTCGCGAATACGACTAAACTCGATACAAAAAGCCTGCACTTCAATGATCAAGTCCTAGACATCAGTAAAACCAAAACCCACCGTTAGAGAGACCACTGACTAGAGAGTCTGAAAACTCATACGCTTAACGCACCTGCACATTAATGATCTTATTTCGGATCAGCGACTGCAGGAAGACACACACAAGGCGCACAAGGCGGTTTTGCATATACTTGTCCTTAATGTTCTCGCACGAGGAAATGCAGTTGGAAATGTACAGGTGGATGAACTCCGTGGGCAAATCCACTGCCGTTGTCAGGCGGTTCACGACTTCCATTGAATGTAGTGACATATCCATGTTCACTAGTGCTGACAGGTATTCTGTAATCTGGTTGGACGACATGAGCTTCAAAAGACAGTCGATAGCTAACATCGGGTTGTTTTCCACTAAATCTGGCAAACGCTGTGGCGTTAGTGAGCAGTGATACACAAGCTTCGGATCCGCTTCAAGATCTGCAAGCACTTTTTGTTGCAACGAAGGCACTAACGGTTTCTGAAATGCACGAAACATAAGCTCACGCAGAGCAATTCCGTGCGTCGAATCCAGCATTGTTGAGTCCCACAATACTGTCGGGCAGTAGTCCGGGTTTAACCAAATCAACTCGGTCATATCTGGTTCTAAAATTGGTGGGGGAAGACGCAAAAATGTCGGTTCAAAGCTCAGCAATGACAGGGACCCTGACGATGATGCACTAGCAGCAGAACTTGGTGATGCAGTGGTGGTACTGGTCGCTGCGTCAGTATCATCAAGCAAACTCATTTCTTCCAACGAAAGTGCTTCAAAACACGGCAGGTTCAATGAACTCACTTCGTTGGGAGGCACCTGCAGATTTGCGCCATTGTTCACGTGCTCTTGCAGATCAAATTCCGTGTCGGTAACGACGTTGCGGATACCAGCTGCACGAAACTGTGGTACTGACGGCGTGCGTTCCAAGTAGCTTTTTCTCATGGCTTCTACATCAAACTGAATCGTTTGCAATGGGTTTGCTCGAAACTCTTCCATCAATTCCTTCGCCGTCTTCTTGCTCGACTGCAGCATTCCACGACCAACCACAGCGTCAGAATTAAAAATAATCATACCCTCATCTTACTATCTCTTTTCAAGTCCTGTCGTAGCACGCACATCACGAATAGCACCTAGAGCCGATAGCAAGTATACAATAAACTTCTTCTCGTACAAATCACAGCCCTTCTCTAATGCATCCAGAAACACGGGCAAGAACGGGTTCGTCGTCGTGCCTTCCATACGGTACAGATCACTCAAGATCGAAAAGCCCACAATGCGCTGTAGTGAGGTAAAACACAAAGCAAATAACACCACAATCACTCTCTTTGGTGTCCCAGTCAGTCGATAGAAATAAAATATCTCCAACCTGTGAACTCGTAAGCAAATTATCCTGGAGCAAAATACAAATCGTACAGCCCACTTTAAAGTGATCACTCTTGGTAAATGTATGTAGAAACATACTCAATACTTGCTCCAGTGCTTTATCGTCTTCCTATATGGCAATAGAAACGTCATATGAATTAGTTTGTGTCGGTGTTAGAAATCACCATTTCTAACGCTCATTTCTATATTAGCAACGACACTAAACGCGTAAAAAGATCATGACAATACGAGATTCGAATACAAATAAATGGTCACTATATGATAAGAAATTACACACATTAAGAATTGCTAGAAGTGGTCGCAATTCTCGAATCTCCAGCATCGCAATAGGGGGGCGAAGAGAACAATAGCGGCTTGTGTCTTGCTTTGCTCTAATAGAATGCAATGGGATACGCACTTAAGTAGAAAAAAAGGACGTACTTAACGAAAACACAAAAGAAAACGTACTTCCGTATCAAACAACGCACTTAACCACATAATACGAACTTAACAAAATCATGTGATTTCTTCAGAAATGGGTACAGAAATCGCTCCATTAGATTTATGGCTACATTAATTGATCTATTGGCAGGTGTCCGACCTTCATGTGCAGCGCTTGTAGCACATGAATCTTCCTCTGTGCGGGTGAATACAGAGAAATTGCGTCTGTTTGTAAAGGATCTTGATAATGACAAGGAGTTGACACGACGTGTAGAGACAATGAACTTTCCACTGAACTTTCGCTCGCAGCAGGACGAACTTAATTTTGTCAGTACGTTCATTTGGTAGTTGATGGGTATATTATAACGTATACTAGCTAGTGTTATTATCGGAAGACTGAGCAGGTTATTGTGAATGTATTTGTATTGGTTATAGTATTGTATGGATTACTGAATTTTGGGAGTGGATACCGAAAGGATCTACACAAGTACACTGAGCGAGGAGCTCATGACACTATTGTACGTAATGTTTGAATTGGTTTCGACCAATATGAAGATGGACTTATAGTTGTTGTGGGTTTATAACTCTGTGTAGGTATTTGGACTGATTGGCATGTATATCTCAGTACCTAAGCTAGATGCTCAGTTCTTGCAGAACTTGAGCATTGACTTCATTGCGTCCTTCTTCAGCATTCCATTGGAGAAAGATGAAGAGATCTCGACGGGTATCTACATGTCCAAACCGGTGTGATGACTCAGTTGAGAATGTTGTGATGATGTGTCATTGAGATGTTTACAAACATGTTGTTGACTTTGTTTTCGTTGCATTGAGGTAGGGACCGTTAAAGCCACTTGCTGTAATGATTCAAAAGGTGAGTATCTTTTTACTACATGTCTTACGTGCAAAGCTGATGGTGTCGATCATATTGGCCATAGATCTTGAACGAGTCTGGACAAAAGCTAGTTGAGCTAAAGATGCAAGATTTTGGAGCTTTTGTTCTGGCAAACCTTTCGCCCAACAACAGTATCAGTGTGGAGAAGAAGGAAACTGTCAGTTCCAGTTCCAGTGCAGCATATCTTGTGAACAAATTGGTCGCTACATTCCCAGGCTTTGACGATTCCTATGAGTTCCATGGTGAGAAAGTGTACGTTCTCAAACGTGCTCAACTGGCTGTTGCGTGCATACATCGACGATTCAAGGTGATGACTTCTTGTGGCGAGAACAGATTGATCATTCCACGTGTTCGTTCTAATGGTCTGATACTGTACTATAGGACTCCGACCCAAAGTTGACGTTCGCTGACATCAACGAGCTGACGGCTTTCAGTGACAACGTGAGTCGGCGCGATCTGGTCTTGTTCGATCTCATTTTAGATGCTAACACACTTGTTATCTGCGCTGACACAGGTTTTACCTTGTGTATTGCACGCTTTGGGAATTCTTGAGGTATGACAAGTCGACGCTTGCGCTCACCCTGCACGTTATCCAACCAATTTTGCTGTGCATGTCCATAGTACGATGCTGACTTAGAGAATCGCATCAGGTGCGGCAAGGAGCTGCCTACTGGTCAGCAGGAGTGCGAGTTGCGTGCCGCCGCGATCGTGGCGTGTGAACAGATTGTAGCGGAGAGTAAGGGCCGCATCAGCACTCTTGAGCTGGACTGTTATTTGTGGCGTCTGGTCAAGGAGGACCGTTTCCGAGGCCTTGAGCGTCACGCAACGCGCGACACGTTTTTCTACTGAGTTGCAATGCAGTGCAACCTTAGTCCAGAGAGCACACAATTTGTGGTGATTTCAACTATCGCGCCAACATCTTGTATCCTTCTAGTTAGTCTTTAGCATCACTCGCTTAAAGGTGACTCGATGCACGATAATTTTTACGCGCGGCTGCTCTCCTGACTTCAAGTCGCAACGTCTTGGATTTGCAGCAGCTCACTTGGTTTCAAAGAAATGCACTGGTAAACGTTTCAACAATGGATGCGTTTATCAAACAAGTGCAGCAGATACATCCATCACCCATGAAGTAAGCAAGCAGGAATAGACTGTGCGACACGAAAGCCTTCAACGACGCAGCGGTAGTCAAGGACGACGCGAAAAGAATCATACCTCATGCCCATCTATCTGCCACAACCTTGGTGAATCTCCCTCTCCTTTGGCCTCGTTTTTGCTCTTACTAGGATGGGTATCCCACCTCACTTGTTTCCAAAGCAGCCGCTACTGTTGCATGTTCTTGCCCTTCTTCACTCGAGCATTCTCTCTGTATTGCTGAGATCAAGCATAACACTCGTGCAACGTGTACTCTGCTCGCGTCGAACGAATCAGGTTGCCATCACCGTCAGCCGCTTCTGTGCATCTTAGCTATTTGTATCAGCATTTTTGTTCACGAACACACCAACCAACAGCTTCATCTTGCAATGAACAACGTGGACGCCATGTACGAGGCAGGCGTTGCATGGTCGACAAAAGACAAGAGCGAGATTGAGCTTAGTCCTGTTCATCGTGTTGCACCGACAGTTGACGTCCCGAGACCTTTGGCTTTACCACTTCGTCAACGATCTCTTGGTGCTATGCCCAATATGGCGCGATACAGTTCCGACTCTATAGCAACAGAGCCACGTCTAAGTGTCTGTAGCACTTCTGGGACTGTTTACGAGAGCGTAGTAGTGGTCGGTCATACCTATGGCTCATCACATAAGGTTGTATACTATCTACTTGAGGTGCGTTCGTGGGAGATGCCACTCGAGGGATACGTGGTGCGGCGTCGATACAACGACTTTCACAAGTTTCATCAGGAGCTGGCTAATTATATGCCCTTGAGAAGACCTCGTAGCAGCACAACGATCGGCTTTGGTCTCTCCTATTCGTCGCTCCTGTGTAATCCTTTGACGATCAAGACGCCAGAGGCTTCACCACTCTGGTCACCGACACGGACAGATGGCGGACGAGGAGTGAATGGCACAGATCAGAGGAGGGCATCTTGGATCAGTGAAAACAGCAGCAGCTCAAAGCATCAGCAGCAAGTGGAAGAGAATGAGGTGCGGAGCAGTGCCCCTGCTATTTTGGCTGAAGAATACCGACCAAATGGAGGTGTTGCCAGCTACAACAGCAACACGTTGCTACCGCTTGATGCAGTCAAATTTAACCTAGCGGGACGTCCATGGCTACCACCAATGCCGAATGGCGGCATGTTCTCCATGTTTACCACTCGCCATGCACTTATCAATTACCGTATTAAGCAGTTCAACCACATCTTGGCGGCTGTTATGAGTGACAAGTCTAGTGATGTGGGCAGTCTTCTCATGAATTTTATTCAGGAGAAACCTGGCACGCAGGCGCAGACGTATACCACCTTGTCCGAATACGCACCCATTGACATTCCGTTCAATGTCGAGCGGTACGCACGACGGCGTGCTATGTCTATTGGTAAACGTCAGTTGCGGGATCAAATGTCTTCTCCTGTAGTTTGAGTGACAAACAGCCAAAGACAGCAAGATCGATGATGGTCGCGGATTACGCTGTAGAGTAGTTATATATTAGATTATCACATACGACATGCAAACCTTTCTTCCTGACCCGAGATCAAACAATCAAGGTAATCATCGTAGCGATATGTGTCATAGGTTATGGCTGTGAGCAGGCATTACGGGTAACTTTCGTTCTTGACTCGTTCACATGGATCACTTTGCGGCTCGAGTGATGTGTGCGACGTGATCATCATCGGGTCTAGCCATGTTGAGCTCCGTGCTGTTCAATTGTTCTGTCCGTGCTGTCGTGTAAGGCTGTCGATGTGTTTATATCAAGTCGGACATGCGTGTTTGACAAGAGCAAGAGCGACGTTTACTATGCATGAATGGACCTATCGTCCAAACTAGTCAGCGACTGCTCGGTCATCGATCAATGCTGTACATGTAATACCTGCTTCACAACCAACACGGTGAGACTATACAGCGCAAAACGTGACAAACGGAGACTTTGGCGCTATTGAAGAGCATGCACTAAGACACCGCCTGGAAAGTAATGCTACGACTATCTGCTTGGAAGCATTTGACATCGTCCGCTTGACACCAATAAGTTTGATAAGGCCGTCAGCGAGACTGCGTTCTTTTTTTCTTCAATGCTGCAGTGGTGTTTTTTTACCTCGTTCACGCATGCTGGGAATGGGAATACAAATCGACCGATAGAGTCCTAAGGCTATTCAGGGTCGCATTGTAAACTGGGATAGCCTCAGGAATTTTTATCCGTCCAGAGTTTAATACCGCAAGAAACGCTACGCCAGGCAGCGGCAACGTGTTCAATGTAGCGACTAATGGATGGTGCTTAAATGTCGACTTTAACAGATGTAGAACTGACGGAAACTTCCGCTGCTTTGATGATAAATTCAAATCCTTTTTCTGGTGAGGTTCTGAGTGCAGGTTGACATATTGAGGTAACGTGTGTATGTTATCATCACCATTAGAGGATGGAAGCTGATACACTGCAGCTAACAATCTTTCCCGGTCTACTGATGCATTGGTCCGACTTCTCGATACTCACGGTATCAACTTGGAACAATAAGAAATATTTGACCCCTATTTATGAATACAGTGATGTTGAAGATAGCATAGTTGTATAATAAATGCACTGTACGTATTGTGGCGTTCTCTGATCGCAAGCTTCCCGTCTGATGGCAAGTCTGATGGCAAGTACTATTGACTTTACTTAAAAAAGTACCACAAGTATCAGTAAAGAAGTTGGTTACGTTACTTTCTTTTCCTAACTACAGAAAATACCACCATACACGTAAGTGAGTTACCCACTTAGACTTCAGTAGACTACAAATTGCATGAAGGTTTTCTAACTTTGTATTGGCTTATGCCTTTACAAGCAGGACATGTTGATATCTTTGCTCATATCGACGTGTTACTGCAAGCGGATCAGGTCGTAATACTAAAATAGATATTAACATGTCTCCTATAGCTTATCAAATCAAAAACATCTGTCAAGCAATAGACCCGGCTCTGTCGATCTCAACTCCACTATGGCCTATTTTTGTGCACCATTGAATAGCCAGGTAGGGGTATTTTATTCATCTAGCCAGTTCATCTAATCTTCCTGTTGTGTGTCCTTTCCGCAACTTCTTGTCGCCTCTTGTTGTCTTTTACCATTAGCCAACCTACTCCATACTGTATTCTTAAATCATTGAGCCAGGTAAATGGAATGATGTTATAATATATATATATGATTGATATATACTTCTAACAGTTTCGGTCTCGACATTTGTGACCTTATTCCAGAATTTGACTCTTCTTCTTTTTCCCTCCTCCTCCCCCCTTTCCCAGCAACATAACATATACCCATTATTAGTGTATGTTGAGACGCAAATATTGTTTCGTTGCAATAATTACTGGTATGTGTTGCTAATTCCATGTGTTTTTATTTATTATGTCAAGGGTTAATGCCTTTATTGTATTCCTACTGATTTTATTATATGTATGTATGTATATGTCATTTTTTCAATATATTCTAGTCACTGTAAAGGTGGCAGAGACTTATTCAACAGTAATGACCTTCTCTTCTACTTCATCTATCTGTAATAGAGCAGAAGAGTGTTATGTAAATGGAGTATTATCGAAAGTCTGTGATCGTACACTACGAAAGTGCAATCGATGTTTAGCTAAACAAGAGAGTGATACGTTCTTATCATCCGTTAAAAATTGGGTCGAATATGGATGTTATAATGTGAATGAAGATGGCGAGTGTCCAAGTGGCACAATCAAGTGTCCTACGAGTATGTTGAGAGTATTTGATTTACAAGACAGTGCAGTTGGAGTACGATCGCCTCACTTGTGGCTCTGTCTCTGTGTGTGTGTTTGTGTGTTATTACTTGTTGTGGAATGAATTAGCAATGAAGACGACCCGTGACGATGAAGAACAAACAAGTAGCTCGGATATTGGGACCTTGGACGAAGAAGGCTCCAAGTTGACATCGACATCTGCCATTTCAAAGAAGTCATCGCTATCCACTACCAGTGATTTGTCGGATTTAACCACCGAGAGCTCTTTTACTATGAAGCAGAGACCCCCCCCCACCTGTGTCCTCTACACTCGATGATACAAACAGCAAATTCACTACGCGTGAAACGATGAAACCTACTACGCTTTTGTCCCCCTCCCACGATGATACAAATGACAGCCTTGCCACGCTTAAAACGACGAAATCCACGACTTTGTTTTCACCCGATGATACAAGTGGTAGTCCCCTCACGCTTGAACCGACGAAAAAAACCAAGATCAAGAAGACGACAAAGGATGGTATTAAGTCGCCTGTAACCCCCCCGTCGAGCGTTGAGGAGACATTGGAAGATGGATATAGTGACTCTTATAGCTCGTCACGTGAGTCTTCCGCTGTGTCTTTATATGAAGAACCTTACTCCACATTTTATAGCACTGTCAGCGACTCTGAAGCAGATCAGGAAGGAAAACCCCACGAAACTGGTGTAAGTTCTGTAGAAACTCCGACTGCACCCACTACACCAACGGCTGCTCATTCTACCATAAAGGACAAGGCGCTCAGTAAGAATGAGAAGTCGACAAGCACAGCGCCAGCCCTTTCTAATTCAGATGACTCCCACGTGGGCTTAATTATCGGCGTCATTGGTGGCGCTGCTGCGGTGGTTGCCTTCGCAGGTTTTGTCGCTTGGAAAAAAAAGCAGGACGATGAGGATTTTGATGACGATGATGCTGCATTTTCCCCGAAAAAAACAACAACAAGCCGTGATGCGGCTTCACTGCCATCTGCATCTTCAGCAACCACGGCGTACTTAGCTCAGCCCAACTGCTACGACAACAACAATTACGAGCAGCAGTACAACAACAAGTATGGTAACAACTACGGTGACAATTATGGCAACAACTATGGCAACAACTATGGCAACAATGGCCACAGCAATAATTACATGGCGAATCATTATGCTACGGGTGGAAAGCCAGGTGATGTGGTTCCTGCTAGCTACGGCAGTCCGTATTCAATCGACATCGATAGTGATAATTTAAGTCGTCGTACAGATAGCATTCTGGGCGGGACAGGTGTCATGTCAAGCACCACATCGAGCATGCAAACTCCGTTCGAGTTCACCGGTGGTCCAAGCCCCTCAAATAGCGACATGAATCAAGATATATGGGGCAACGAGATGGACAGCTTCCACCAAAAGCGCACAGCCAGTAGTGCGTCCGTGGAGTTTTAGGCTATGTTTGTGCACTCCTCTGCTTGGCGGCTGATGATGGTAAGTGTGTTGTCTATCACGCACTTCCCTTGAAGAGGCTGAAGGAGGCTTATGATATATGATCTCCATTTCAATTGATATCTCTCTTGTGTTCTTGAGCTTGACGTCGTGTATATGTATTGGTCTACTTTGATTAGGTAGGAAGATAGCGCTACTTGCTCAATATTCGAGCGTGTAAAGAGAAAACGCAAGCTGAGACCCGAAGCCTGCAGCAAAGCGCAACGCATACTTGTGGGCGTAAACACCTCCCGGGGCAAGGCGAAGAGGAGTCTCGCCTAGGTTGGGATCATGAGCCTCAAAGTGCACCACGGGTGGTACGCATCCGTTGCGCAGACCCTCGATGGCTGCCACGTCCTCAAACGCCACGGCCATAGGGTGTCCTGTAATTCCCTTCGTGTTTGTTATCATTAGCTGAGCAAGCAGCTCTGAGCCGAAAGCTGTGCGCAACGCCGTTACTTCTGTGTAAGCACACGAAAACGTAGCCGATGCATTAGTGCCCGTCTCGTGGCTGTAATAGACTCCATTTTGCGCGATTTCTTTACGAGTGATATTGAAGTCTCTCTCTACGCTATCCAAGAAACGCACGAGCTCCTGACCGACGTGATTCGGCTCCAGTGCAGCACCGTGATAGGCCGAGTTGCTGAATTGAGAGGCAAGTAGACGCACGCTCTTCTTATCGGAAGGACCAGCCACTGGACGTTCCACTAATGCCAGAGAGGACTCAAAAACCAACCCGATCGCTCCGCTACCGACAATCATACCGCTACGCTTTACGTCAAATGGTCGCGCCGCATCATTTGCGGTCGGGGCGATGCACGCAGCACCGAGTGCATGAAAACCACCACCAATCAAAGGCATCATGGTCTTTGAGCTAGCAGTGTCGCTAGACACCACAATGACCCGCTGGCATTTGCCGTTATTAATCCAATCCTGAGCCATACCAATGGCTTGTGTTGTGCCTGCGCATGCCGCATTGATCTGTGTGTTAGGTCCACGGGCTCCAATAAGTTGAGCGAGTTGTGCGTTTGCTAGTATAAGCAGCCGAAAGAGAATTTTGCGATCCATTTGATAGGTAGACGCGCTTTCTTGACTGCCTTCTTCGTAGTAACGAGACGTTTCTGATACCGCCGCATTCATGGTAGGGAACGATGTTGCGTAAATCACACCAGTGGAGTCACGCATGTTCTCAGACAACCTCCAGTTGGCATCAATTCCGTCCACGAGGCCAGCATTGCGAACAGCTTCAAGACCAGCAGCCACAGCCAGCTGTGTAGGTTCGTCCATTGAGCGCGCAATCGTTGTGGCTACACCGTAGTCCTTTTCGAGATCCACGTGGCTCGCAACAGCAGACACTTGAATGCACTTATCGCGAGTGGAAACTGAAGAGCGAGTCACATTACCGGTGGTATAATCCTTGCTGATATGCACGATGTTTTGAGCTACCATCCTGTCCTTGTCCGCATCGGTGAGTATGTGGATACAATTGTCACCATTTAAAAGCTTCTCGACCGACTTTTTGCCCTCGAATACCTTGGTCTGACCTGGCAGACCAACACTTGTACCAGTCACATACACGGCGCCAGCAAGTTCTTGCGTTGTCTTGATCATGCGACGGTGTGCCTGCTCGTCACCCTCCACAATAACTTGCGGCTTTGAACGAGCGTAGTATCGGCGGCCGACGTCGTCAATCCGGTCGAGGTAAAAGTCTCCTTCAGGAATGGAAGCAATCGACTGCGTGAGCTTCAACTCTTTCTTAGCGCCAAACGTGCACTGACGCAGTTTCATACGCGCTGCGTACTGCTCTGGGGTCTTCTTGTTGCGACGCTCAAGACGAAAAGTAAGGTCCAGGGACTTGGCGATCTTTCCCAGTGAAAACTTTCCCTTAGCCGACTCTGTCGGCTCACGCGTGTGGAGCATGTACATGGTAGCAAGGCTTCCAGAGCCGTAGGAAAACATAAGCACCCGAGCACCAAGTGCAAGATCCTTGGCACGCGCGTGAACCAATGTTGCCAGGTTCATGTATACTGCGGCCGTATAGGAGTTGCCCAGCTGCTGAGAAGTCGTGCAGCTCGGTGATACTTTGATGTCAAAATCTGCCTTTGCAACATCCCGAGCGGCCATTTCGAGCTCACGGTCGTTCAGTGTCTCACTCAGTGGCGTGTCTTTCCATTTCTTCAACAATGCAAATTTCTTTTCAGCAACTTCATCACCACGACGTAGCAAACGTCTCAAGTCTAGAAAAAGCAAACGAGCAAAAGATTTTTGCACCAATTTGTTGTACGGCGAGTGAAACACTGCGTAATCAATAGACTTCAACCCAAGTTCAGTTCCGTTCTTTTGTGCAGCCATTTCACTTTTCTTGCAGAAAAGCTGATAGCATTCATCCAACGCATGCAAATAGCACAAATTCGACAGCTTGCCGTCTACTGTCGGGTACTCGCTGTTCACATTGGGTTTATAAAAGTCCCAGACGTTGTCTGCATGAGTGGCTTTGGTTTTGCAATCCAACACCATCGGAGCATCTGGTCCAATAAGCATCGCCACAGCTCCACATCCTCCAGTAGGACGTGCTGGACCCTTTGGATACACTGCAATGTCTGTAGCAACTACAACAGCATATCGTCTATCCCAGAAAGAGCTCTCCACCCATGCAATTGCATTTAACAGCGCTGCCGTGCCACCATAACAGGCATTTATGACGGTAGCTCCATCCACGTCTGTGTCCTTATCTCCAAATAACTGCATAAGGACCGTCTTCGTCGACTTGCTCTTATCCACTAACGTCTCTGTACCAACTTCTAGACGTCCAATTTCATCTGTAGATACTTGAAATTTACTTAAAAGCCTTGAAACGGCCGTTAACGCCAATGCATTTACATCTTCACGATCACCAGGTACAGCCATAGCTATTTGTCCAAGTCCTAGTGTGTATTTACCACTACTAACACCATCAAATATCTCTAATTCCTCTTGTAATACATAATCGCATGGAAAATGCACTTCCATGGCCAGAATGCCGACATTATGTGGACGCACAAATGTCATTATTAGTCAAGGACTGGAGGAATATACCGAGCTTATAGGCGGTATTTTTGAATGCACGGATTGGCGAAAAATATACAGATGGTTTATTTTTTACCACGTTAGAAATTGAGTTTGAGATTCTTTTTCTAAATCCTTATCCTACTGAGCACTCATTTCTAAAAACTGAGACGCACGACCTAGCTAACGGTATGTCAGTGTGGTAAGGTGAGTTCTCAAAACGAAGATGAGACCCCAAACAACTCACTGTGCCGGACTGCTGACTGTCGGAGGAATGAACCCGATGCCGCGTATGGACCTTTAACCACCTTGTGTAACCGTCGGCTGGCGGGTTGCACTCTCTAAAACACCCACTGGATGCTGTGGCCAACCAGATCGAA